GCTGGTAGAGTGCAGTTGAAAAATCATTCCTGTTAAAAGTCAGTCTTATTTAAAGTATTATTTAAGTATCGGAATTGTTCACAGCTTATTTTTTTGAGATCTGAATAGCTGTTTGTGATTTTGTGTTCATCATTTGTATTCATTGTTTTGGTGAAAGTCTTTCTGAATATCAATACTGGCTATGTTCAAACAGTCCCAACTTAATATTTAGTTAAAATTTCAAATACAACCAAAGTAATAATTTTCCCTTAGCTGGCTTTCAACGTTTTTTATATGAAAGAGGGCAATACAAGGAAAAAGTAAAATTTTGTGCTAAGTTTTGGGGGTTTTTCCTTGTATATGAGCTAATTAGTAATGCATGTTGATGCTGTCTTGCTCAGGGAATTAGTTATGGTGGTAGAAGTGGTTGTCTAAATTGACCTGAATAATTAGGAATGTAAAAATGGTTATAGTTTATTGGTGTCTCACTTGAACTTAATGGAATGGAGGTGCTTGTTTTCTTTACAGAAGACTGTTAGAGTTTATCTTTCTAATACGGGTTCTAGGATAACTTAAGTTATCCTGCATGTTTCCCTCCCTTTACCCCAGCTGATGGGATAATCTGTAGTTTCAGTCAGAAGAGATAGTTTATTTTCTGTAGATTAGTCCATTGCCAAGCAATGTCCTTGCCTTGTTGTACATGTAGTATTTTTTCAGAACCCCTTGCAAGTGTTTGTTGGCTTCATTCCTAATGCATAGTAGCTTTAGTAGGAGATTTGTTTAGATTATCCTAATACTCATTAAGTATTTTGCAGAAATGTTAAGAGTTTCCAAAAGCATTTCCTACTGAGTGAAGATGTTTTCTTTTAATCTATGTATACATTTTTAGTGTTCCTACGAATATTTGCATTCCATAGACAATTTGGACTTTCTTGCATTTGTCCTTTTTAGTGGTGACCAACACTGTTAAGCTCTTTCATGCCTCTACAAATAGCTGTTTCTTGTTCAGCTGTCTGCAGGTTTTCAGTTGTCTTCTCACTGCTTACTTGGAATAGGCAAGTTGGCTTCGGGTACCTCTTCTTTCCTGCTGAAAGAAGGGTTAATCTGCTGAAAGCTTCTGCCGATTAATTTCTGCAGCAGCAATACAGGGGTGAATTACAATCCTTTTCCCTAAAATTCAGATTACTTTTTTTTTATAACTATCTTCATTTTCTTCACTTATTTCAATTCATCATGACACTGAGGCAAAGATGTAGAAATGTTAAGTGGTAATTTTGTGATTCATTGAAGAGTCTGTGGAAAGGTTCCCCTTCTAAACTGCCACTTTTGAGAGGGTAGTTATTGCTTTTTTATTGTTGCAAAGGGCTCATGCTTTCTTAATTGCCTGTGTTTACATTAGTAACTTTTTAAGTTACTTGAAGATTTGAGATCACCTCATTATCAGAAAAATTTTAAGTTTTCTGTGAAAATTTCTGTCTTTCATCTATTTTATCAAAGTTCTTCCATATAACTTAGCATAAATCAAGAGGTGCTCTTCTGGTTTCTTCTCCTGAGCTGCATGAATTCTCATCAAGCAGTACACTGATCTAGTTTGTGCTGCAGATTCTTAAATAGTGTAATGAAGGGAACAGCAAATGAATGTACATGCAGGTGGGGAGAGCTACTAATGGACAAATGGTGGTTTATACTCTTAAACAAAAAGTGAAAACAGAGACAAAGAAATAAGAGTTGTTCAGCCTGTTTGTGCAGACTCACCAAGCACAGGCTGTCCTGTTAATATGTGGATCTCAGAGCAATCATTAAGCTCTCCTTGACAGCTATCCTTCTTATAGGGAAACTAAGAGTGAGTAGTGTTTTGTTCTGACAGGCAAGGTTCTTCACTAAAGACATGCCTCTGGCCTTTGTGTGCGTTTACCCATAAAGGACTTTGGGATGTTCAGGCAAGCTATGTCATAGTTTTTGCATATGCTAAATTGAACAGTCTCTGTTATCTCTTATTGTACAGATGTTTAGAGTGTGCAAAAATTAGCACTGTGCTTTTGTATATGCTTCTAAGGTACTTGACCATTTGAAAGAAAGGAGTCCTTCAAATTAACACTCCAGTAAAGATAAAAATCACTAAAGAGGAAGCATGAAGAATTGCCATCTATTTCAATTATCAGTAACTCTGCACTTAAAATTTTAATGCCTAAAGAAAATTTGTTTTGCTGAGTTGTGCTTTTTAAAGCAAAATTCAGCATCTGTATTGTGCCAGGTCTTACCTTTCAGTGAGCCCTCAAATAATGATTTTTTTTAATTTAATGTGTTTAGCAACAGTCCCCACAGACAAGAAACAGTTTACCCTTGTTAAAATGCATTAATTACTGTTGTGAGTCAAAGTGGATTGAATAAATCCTCTGGAAAGAGAACAACTTTGTTACGAGCAGAGAACGAAGTTGTGGTTTAAACCTTTGTGTCTGGAAGAGATAGAGAACGATGTATGCAGCCAGAGGTGGTTCTTGTTCTGCCGTTTGATATTATGAAAACAAAATTTCTAGCATTTTCTTATCCAAATGGTGATCTATTGTATTTATTGCATGCTTCCCTTTTACTGGAAAACAGGATGGAAGGGCAAACACAAAATACATACTAAGGCATGCTCTGAAGGTTTTGTGGTATGTAAGCCTCTAGGAGAATCTTCAGGAGCACATCTACATCTCTTAGGACTTTACCAAGGGCATTGTGTCACCTGTGACCTTTGAGGGTGGAGACATCTCAAGGTCCAGTTTGGGTTGCCTCTGAACAGTGATAACAATTGAAGTAAGCAGATGTGTTTAGTTTCTGCTGTCTTAAATTCAGAGTGTAATCACCTTTATGTGATAATACTGTTTAGAAGTATGTAATGTAATTGCAGCAGGCATCTGTGCAGTGATTTTTTTAATGCAGTGTCTATAAATATAATTAAATTATGTCTATAAAACCTGTGTGAAATGATTTCCCACTCAGCAATGACCAGGATGCACAAGTATGAATTGAAACAGGTGGTAGAAGGACTTTAGTCAGAAGTCTAATGCACTAAACATTTCTCCCTAGCATCTGTATGATGCTTGTGAGGTGGTAATAGTGGTTGAAAGCTTACCTGTTGTGTCACCTCCTTGGTTCTGTCACAGCACTGCCAGGATCCAGCCTCAGCCTGCATTTTCAGCTGAGCATGAATAGTTGAGTATATTGCACACCAAAATACCTACGTTGAAAGGAAAGTTAGTAGGCCACTGTGGCTGTTGTTGTTTAGCCAGTTTATCCAGTCTTCATCTTTCTAGTTCCACTATATTTTCTAAAGCTCTCATATAAAAATCTGCTGTTATAATTGGAACTGTTCTATGGCAACCAGAACTAATTGCATAAACCATATGGCTTTTGAACTTCTGATGTCTTTTCTCTTGAAAAACAAAAAAAGCCTACTTGCTTCTCTGCTAGGCAAACTTTACTCATGACTTGCTTGAACTGCAGCTAATTAGAAACTGGCATTCAATTAATGCCATAAACAGTGTTTGGGTTTGAAATCTTATTTGTGCTTGATGAGGAAAAAGTAAGTTTATAGAAAGATGGTTGCCATGCACTGCATGTGAGAGAGAACCACTCAGTTTGTTAAAATGAACAACTGTCTTTAGTTCTGCTTCCTTTCAACATTATAAAGAGAGCAGATTTACTCAGTCAAAGGTTTACTGTTATTGTTCTCCTCTTAATCTGAATGTATTATATGACAAACTTTTCCATAGTAGGTATAGAACCCTGTTTCCTGAACATAATGGTTTTATTGGTTTTGAATGCAGTAACTTTTAAGCTATTTCAATAACCTGAAGTGTAATACTGTCTCTGAGGCTAATAGTCAAAAACTGAATTAGCTTTTGGGGATTCTTCAGGAGTTCAATATTTTAAAAATTTTTGGGGAGGAGGGTGGAAGAAAACTCACAGCTCAAATTCTATGTTAATCTGCTAGTTTAGTATGGTGTTACAGCTGAAAACTCATTTCAGAAAAGTTTTTTTTTTCTAGAATGTAATTAGCCATATTTAATACTATTTTTAGGTCAGACAGAAGTGTAAATACAGTGGTAAGAATGCCAGTTTTCCAAAGTAGATGTAAGAGAGCAGTCTCTACAGCCTTGGAAGCAATAAAATGGTAGAAGAACTGGTAGAGCAAAAACATTTTTGAGATGTAATGTTTTTTTTAGTCAGAGAACTGACTTGCACACTGATTGCAAGTACTGTATAGAATGCTTCAATTAAGATAAATATGTTATGCAAGCTGGAAGTACTTCAACTGACAGGTGCTCTTGGCTTTTTTTTTTGAGAAATGCTGCAGTCTTTAAGAGGACAGTTGAGTATCCAGTTAGTACACTGAAGTCCTTACAAGAAAGTAAGCTGTTCTATTGAAGTTTTCTTACCATAGGCTGTTGCCTACAGTTCAAAGGAAACAAATAATCTGTGGGGTCACACTGCTTTGCTGAGAGCCATAGAGATCCAAATACATCGTCTTGTGCGCCTCACTATTGTCTCTGTAGGACAAGAATGTTGGAGACTGCTATTTTGAAGCAGTCTTCTTAGTAAGGCTTCTCTGGACTTAAAAGAAGTCAGTTGAGACCTCCAGATTTTATTAATGTAGTAAGCAGTTCATCAAACATATTTGCCTATGAACAGTTGAGAGCTTCAGAAGTAGTTAGTGTTAGTTTTGCAAACTTACACTTGATACCAAAGCCCTCAGTATTTTGCATAAAGAAGTGATTGAAGGTCATAATTAACCCAAGTTAGAAATAAAGACCAGACGTGAAGTCAGCTAAGCATACGGATTTTGGTAGCAAACTGTCTTGAAGAGTGACTTGCACCATTTTAAAACGGGAAAAGTTTTTCTCGCCTCATTTGTCAGCAGTTTAAGCAAGTGTGCTCCAGGCTCTGGGAGTGCCGGTCGCTCACAGAGGATAGTTGTGGACGGCACAACAACTTCTGGAACTTAAGCCTTTTTTTTATCAAGTTTAGACTTACCTCATCTGTCTGTGGGTAGGATCTCTTTACTAACAGCAGTCTCAAGCTCTGGCAGTGGTCAGGAGCCTTTCTGTTTGTTCTGTTGTGGCTGTATTTCACATCTGGACTACCTGTAATAATCTGCAAATGGCCTATTAGCTTTTGTGGTATCCTTCTAGCATTGTTCAGTGTAATTCTAACTGGATTTTCAGTGATGTTTTAGTTAAAACAAAGAACAATATTCTTGGTTACAAAATACTCTCATGAAAAACACTTGCATGTTTTTTTCCAGTTATTGCACTTGATAAATCCTTGACTCTACTGCCACTTTTATGTGCAGTGGTACTTTTAAACAGCTGTTGCAGGGAAGCTTAGTGAATACCATCTGCACAAGATTTTCATTTACCTAATTTTTAAAACCCAGGATTTTGAGAATGGAATTAATTCTGACATAGTACTTTGTCATCTTTGTGTATTTTTTTTTCCTGTGGGCTGGGAAAGACATGTAAAGGGAGCTGTAGTGCATGATCATCTTATGTGCTGATGGAAAATAAACTCACTGTATTTCTTCACTTTCCTTTTCAGTCTTGAAGATTTAAAAAATTGTTTTGTGATACAGTTTCTTTTAGGCATGGTGTGGTACTGAAGGTAGTTGCCGTAGTAGATGCAGGAGTTACTAGACTGCATTATCTTTTAAGTCTTCTTAAAAATAAGCATCTTATTTCACGTAAGAAAAATAATTTTACAACTGAATTTGTTAAGATTAGATTGGAATTGCCTCAAATCCAATTAAGCCACACTGCATGGACGTGCTGGGAATATAAATGCAATTACTGTAAATTTGTACAAACTGATTTGTTGCATTATCTTGCTAATCTAACATACAGTACTTTTTGTGTCCATATTGCAGACGGCAACTCCAAACTAACATGGCAGTCAGACTGTGTGATGTGGCTTCTCTGCTTAGAAGTGGTTCGTGGGCAGCAGAGCCTTGGACTGGGGTCTGTGGGACTTTTCTTAAATTCTGTAGGCTCCTTTTTTACATGTTAATAGTGCTGAGGCCATACCAAAGTCTTTTAACTTTCCATTTGGAATGCTAACTCACATATATGTTTCATTATAGGCTGTAGGGTGTGTTCCTATTCTATGAGAGCCTAGAGCACACTGGTGTAACAAGACAACTTTTTCTGTAAAACGCTGATCTCCTGTAGAAATTACACTGCAGTGGCTTGCCTTCTTCTATTGTTAATTAGATTTTAGTACTAATTGAAAATACTCGGTGGATAATTGAAGAGGACTATTGTACTAAAATGGTTTTGGTATGGTCTGACTACTAATTTGCAGTAACTTTGAAAAACTGTATAGTTGTCTTTTTATGATTACTATTTTAAAATTATATTTGCCAGTCTATTCTAAGATTCTTTTAAACTGTAAATTTATCTCAAACTATTTTTCTGAGTGAAAAATATTTAGTGTTTTGTCTTTTATGAACAGTTCTCTTTAGCCTATTAGTGGGGTATGCATTATTTGCAAAACATATTAGTATCACTTCATTCAGAGCAGATGGTTCTATAGCTGAGAGATGCTGTAATTTTCAGCACACACAGGCTACTGCAGCTGTTCACTTGAATGTTGGCTTAGGAACCCATACTTGGCCACCTGAACGTGAAAATAAATGTGCAATTAAGAGAGAATTGTTTGTTGTCCTTGCTAAATCCTGCTAATTTTGATCAACGAACACTTCAAATTTGAGAATAAAACACAAAAAAAGAAAAAAGGCAATCCTACAGAGCCTCAAAGCACAGCATTTGTGATTACTACCTTTAACAGGTATGCTAGTGTTTTGAAAAGTAATTTATCCTGATTGGGATAATCTACTTTATCATCTTTTCAGTGGACTTGTTTCATCAGTAGCAGAAGCAGGTTACTTCTTGGAGTTTGTCTCAAGGGAAGAAAATGTTGTTCTAGTTGCAGGTCTTCAGGAAAATGAGATCATGCTTTTCTAATGAGTGTTCTTAATAGATGTATCCCTTTTTTTGCGTTATGCTGAGGCAACCTCTTGGAAAATGCTTCTGTATGCAAAACATAGAACATAGAAATGTGTTCCCAGGAATGTCAAAGTTGGACTTCTAGTAAGAAACTCAACTTATCCCCTTTCAATGTATTGTTAGGAAATTCAGTCATTCAGCAGTTCCTGAACACAGCTGACCTTATCAGCTGTTTGGATATGCACTGATTGCCTATGGTGCTTTAAACAGGACTGTTAGGACAGACCCATCAGAGGTCCTGATGCTGCTCTGTGATTTTACAAGAGGCTTTTTTGTGAGAGCTCCTCTTAGCAGTTTAATTATGAGGCTGAATTTCAGTGATTGATGGATTTCTTTAGTGAACTTCTTGTGTTGAAAAATGTATTACTGGAGAATTCATGTACATAATTTTCTCTTGCATGTAGTCCTAAGCTGTTGGTCTCAAAGAGGGTAGGCTGCCCAAATCTTAGATATTAAGATGCTATTAAAAATCCATTGTATTTACCAGCTGTTGCCATTCAGTCACTGACTGAGGGGGCAGAGTGCCTTTTGTAGATGTGGCAGCTTGTGGACAAGTGCTTGTGTACAAGCAGACTCCTCCTAATGACGTCTATTGCATCTTGCAGTCATACAGTCAGTGACTTTGGGGTGAGACACAGTAGAATCATACTGGTTTGAGTTGAAAGTACCTTGGAGTTTGTCTGTTTCTAATAACAATTTGTCTGTTTCTAATACATCTTCCACTAAAATTAAGTTGCTCTAAGCTCCATCCCACCTGACCTTGAACATTTTGAGGGATGGGGCTTCCACAGCCTGTCTGGGCAAGTGCCTTAACCACCCTCACAGTAAAGAATTTCTTCCCAATATGTAATTGAAACCTACTGGCATTCCCCTTTGTCCTGTCACTACATGCTACTCAAAAATTTCTCTTTCCCTCTTTCTTGTAAAGTCCCTTCAGGTACTAAAAGGCCACAGTTAGGCTACCCCAAAGTCATCTCTTTTCTAGGCTGAACAAGCCTGATTCTCCCAGAATTTTGTCAGAGGAGATGTGCTCCGTCCCTCTAATCCAGGCCCTCCTGAACTCACTTCAACAGATCCATGTCCTCCCTGTGCTGGGAGCCCAGGACCTGGATGCAGGTTTCCAGGCGGGCTCTCACCAGAGCAGAGCAGAGGGGCAGAATCCCCTCCCTCCCCTGCTGCCCACGCTGCTCTGGATGCAGCCCAGGACACGTTTGGCTCTCTGGGCTGGGAGTGCCCATGGCTGGGTCATGTCCAGCCTCTCACCCAGCAGCACCCCCCAGTCCTCCTCACAGGGCTGCTCTCCATCTGCTCATCCCCAGCCTGTGCTGATACTGGGAGTGTCCTGACCCAGGTGCAGTACCTTGAACATGGTCTCTCTAAACTCATGAGATTTCCATGGTCTCACTTTTCAAGCCTGTCCAGGTCCCCCTGGATGATAGCCTGAACCTCAGGAGTGTCAGCAATACCACTTACCTTGGGGTCATCAGCAAACTTGCAGAGGGTGCTCTTGATTGTTTTCTGTGTTATTAGTGAAGACATGGAATAGCACTGGTCCCAGTATGGACCACTGAGGGACACTGCTTGTCACTGATGCCTGTCGAGACTGAGCTATTGACAACCACCTCTGGATGCAACTCTCCAATCCCTTTCTTATCCATCTATTAATCCACCCATAGATACTCTCTGTCCATTTGAGAGATAAAGATGTTGAATGGGATTGTGTCAAAGGCTTTGAGTAAGCCTAGATAGATAACATCTGTAACCCTTCCCTTGTCCACTGATGGAGTCCCTTCATCGCAGAAGGGCCACTTAGTTGGTCAGACAGGACTTGCCCTTGGCGAAGCCGTGTTCGCTGTCTGAGATCGCTTCCTGTTCTCTATCTGCCTTAGCACAGGTGGATCAGTTCTGTGGTCTCCCAGGCACAGAGTAGTTCTGGAGTGGTCAAAAAGTACATCAAGAATAAGATTCAAATTTAACTGTTCACAGAGTTCAGGCAAGGGAAGAAATAATAACAAATCATCAATTTCATCAAGTAAAAGCATCTAGAGGTCTGATTCCAACCTGTGATGAAAAGTTTGACATGGATGTTGTCAAAGAAGAGTATATTTTCCATCCCAGCACATTCATATATCCTAAATATCTCTTTAAAATACTAATCTTGATCTCTGCTATTTCTTATGAGAAGTATTCTTTGGATACAGTTAATGCCCACCTCTTCTTGAAATTATTCAAATGCTACTTCATTAAAAACTGCATTTCATGTTATTTCAGTAACTAGCTGTAAGTTAACAGAAGTGATTACTCTTGCAACAGGTCAGTTTTGTTTGGTAACTTCTATAATAGAAAGGCTGTGATTTCCCTAAATTGGAGGAATGGCAGAGAATGGAAACTAAGCTTTGAATGCTGATTTCATTTAGTGAGCCTGTAGAAGATAGTTTATTTGTTACGAGGTTTTAAAGTGTTGTCTTGACTAACAGTTTAATGCCCTTCTGTACTGGTGTTTGGTTTTTTTTCTTGCATGTAGAGGCAGTATATGGCCTTGGCAATACCATTTCTGCATAGCGACAGGTCTTTTAGGTTCTTGTTTGGACTCTTCTACTAGATACTGAAATTTAAATTTTGATCGTTCTTCTTTGTTCTTTTCAGCAGGTAATTGCTGCCATGGAAACACAACTGTCTAATGGACCAACTTGTAATAACACAGCCCATGGTTCAGCCACCATAAACAATTGCTCATCACCAGTTGATTCTGGGAACACAGAAGACAGCAAGACCAATTTAATAGTCAACTACCTTCCACAAAACATGACACAAGAGGAACTGAAGAGTCTCTTTGGCAGCATTGGGGAGATAGAATCCTGCAAGCTTGTCAGGGACAAAATAACAGGTATGTTGGTTTTGGAGTTTTCTGTATCCTCTCATTTTTCCAAGCAGCAAACTCTCAGATGGCATTCTGCAATTCTCTTAGGTAATGGAATAAAGGCAGAATGAAGCAATGCTAGTCAGAAGGAACTTAAATTAATAATTTTTTTAATTATATACCCCAAAATTAAGCATATTAATTTGCATTTAATTTAGGTTACTTTGAGTACTATAAATGCTAACAGGATGTTTAAACTTGGGCTTCAGAGTACTAGAAAAGAAAATTCACATGTGGAAAAGCAGATATTTATACAAAGTTCCCTTGAATTGTAATTCAACCTCATTGAAGTTAGACTTCAGCGCATGCTGATGCAAAGCTGCTTCTTTTCAGGGATGCAGGTAATGAAGCTTGTACCTTGGAAAAAGGGCAGATTATTTTACTTCACAGGTTAAGCTGCTTTTGAATTGCAGCACTGAACAGTTTCTTTAGGATGCACACTTGAGTCAATTTATGCTCTTTGGCTTTCTTCTTATTGAGCAGTCTGTGGCTGACTTCTGTTGGCTGAGCGTGGTTTATTTCCCTCATGGCTCTGAATAACCAGCAGATCTTCCCACAGCAGATGACTTGTTCTCAAGACATGATGTAGTGGAATGGGTAAATCTTTGAAGCACCCTCCTTCAGAATGGTAGTCTGGGATACTGAAATCACTGCTTTTAGTTGATCTGGCCTGACCAAACCTTCAAGCAATCTTTGCTCCTCAGTGTGAAGATTACTGAATATTCTTGGAATGCCAAAGAAACTAGATGGGGCTGATGCCACAGCTTGCTGTTATCAGGTGAAATCTGGTTGATGGAGAAAACAAGCCTGTTTTCTTTGTAGGTAATGACTTCAGTGCTTTGAAACAAAAGATCCCTTCCTTAGGTGTTTCCTGACCTCTTGTTCTGGAAGTAGAAAGATGTAACTGGTAGTTCATCAGTTAGTGGGATGGCTATTCAGACAGTTTGTCTCTGTCTTGTATATCCCACATGTTTAGCATGTTTAACCTCCTTATCGAAGCTGCTTAGGAATAACCTCAAAAGCTGCTACTTCTGGCCCACAGAAATAGTCCTCAAGATCTTGTGATCAATGTTCAAATTCCACTTCCTCAAATTCCTTCCTTCCAATGTTCAAAGTCCACTTCCTTACATGAAGGGTCTGATGTTCTGTATGCCAGAAGCACACAATTGCTGCTACATAGTTTCAAGAGACTTCATACCTGGGAATGGAGCTGGACATAATTGAAGACCTCTTGTTTCAAGGTGTGATGTTTCCTGTATAGCAGGAAGTGATGCCTAAGAAGGATCCTGAATTTAAATTACATTCTCAGTAGCAGAGAACTCCAGAGTTGAACTTATTGGAGATAGTTTTTCTATTTTATCAGAGAGCGGATCCTCAGCTTTGAGATACACTTTCAACTGCAAGCAAAAATGCTGCATCAGTCTTGTTCCAAAAGGTTTTAGGATTATAAGTGAGATTGAGAAGTACAGTGTCTGACCTTGTGTCTGCATTGGGAGCAATACTTCTGATTTAAGTAGCCTGGAGCAAGATAACCCTGTGTTTGTAGATGCTTAGGAGAAAGCTCTCGACTTTCAGTCCTGTTCTTACTCATTTTCAGGTTTTCTTCAGAGAGTTTTGAAAAGCAGATTTTTCTTTTCCTTCTAAATTCAGAACAGGGATTGTTACTAGGTTCTGTGAAATTCATATAGCATGAATTTCAGATTTTTCTTGGTTTAATTCCTCTGTTAAAATGTAATATTTTGTTTTGTCCTTTTTAAATGAAGTGTCAGGAGTGCTAGTTACTTGGTGAGTATCTTTAAATAAGATTAGGGTAGCATAGAAGTTGAAATACACTTTTACAGTTATGGAATCACTGAGGTCTGTAATGGCTTGTGTCTCCCACCATTCTCTGCCTGCTAGTTTGCAAACATAGTGGAGTTTGGTGGGAACACATGTGAGCCAATCCAGTCCTATCCTTGGCTTGGAGTGGTATCATCCTGCAAGCTCAATGTCAAAGAATGTGTTTCATTTCATGGCCACTATCACTGTTGGGCAAGAGCAGCAGCAGGGAGGAAGTGCCCATAGCCCACAGACCACTGGGATGGAGATCAACTTGTGTGCCCCAAAGGGCATCCAGTGGGGCCATGTGTGAAGTGTGATCTCTGCAGCTGTGCCCAGTCCTGTCATGAGAGTCAGAGTTACTGCTTCCAGGATCACTGGGTTGCCAGTGCCATGTGTTAAAATACAGAGAGATCATGGCCAGCCACTGTCATCTTGACCCAAATACTCATTAGCATCCAGTGAATTTAAACCAAGTTATCTCCCACCCTATTGTTTAGTACTCACTCTGTGATCACATCTGCAACACTAAAGTGCACTTGCATTATCATAGAATAGCAGAATGGTTTCAGTTGGATGGTACCTTCATAAGCGCCTCATTCCAGCCTCCCTGCTGTGGTCAGGCACACCTCCCACTAGAGGTGAGAGTGCCCCATTTCCTTGAACCTGTCTGCACACTTTAGGATTGAGAGGAGTTGAACTTGAAGGCCTTCCTTGTTTTTTTTCCTCTGGAAAACCTGTTTGAGGGAAGGAGGCACCCTAGAGTTCATTTACTAATTTCATGTGAGCAGTTTGAAGTCCAAGTCCTGATTATTTTATTGATTTTTAGCTAGGGATTTTCTTGTTAATAAGGGAGGAAGCTGATGTGTGAAGGTTCCTGATAGTCATCTCCAAGCATGCACATCATGGGCAGAACTGTCTGTTGGGGTGACGTTAGTAGCTGGAGTGAAGTCTGCTTTCTGTATTGTCAGAAAACCATTTTAAGTGTTATCAGTAAGAATTTAAATAGCTGATTGCTGTTCTGTTGCTTTACTGAAGGTAAATAAATTAAATGTTGGTAGTGTTGAAGATTGTAAAGGGTGCTGAACAAGAGTCTCTCTTCATGTAAGAATCCCACTGACAACAGCATCTGATAAGTGGGTCATGAACGTCACTTTATCTTCACTTGCTAACCAGAGAATCTGTCAGGAATGAGTCATTGTGCCTTAGATATTTTAGAGTCTGCGTTAACTCTTATGTGCTTTTGACTAATGCAGATGTATGTCAATATAAATTGCAAAACTACAATAAGTGTAAGTGAATAGTGCTTGTACAATAGGTGGGAGACCCCGGTCTCAACAGAGCAACATAACTGAATTCCAGTTAGCCACTTCAGATAGCTGTTTAGCTTGGTTTAAGTGCTTCTGCATATTTAAAGGCAGCAGAGGTAACATTTATCATATAATGATAGCCTTTTATGTAATCAAATGTTCAGCATGTATGGTTACAAAAAATAAGTTAAAATATTCAAAGTGTTAGGGAAGAGGATAAAATGGGATGAAATTTAATTGCTGGAGCTGCCCCTGGTCAAGCACGTTAAAGTTTTCTGCTTGCACAAGATAGATGGATTTAGCAGCTTTTGAAAAAATACAAGAAACAGTAATAGCTAGCACTTAAAAAGTAAGAGATATCATAGTATGGTAAACATTTTTTAGACCTACTTTTCTGAAACTTGAACATAGGTAAAAATGTGACTGTAGTCTCCTTAAAAAAAAAACAACACAACAACAACAAAAAAACCCCCTGCATTCTTTTAACTCCCACTGTCTTCAGTACAATTTCAATTGTACATGTGGAAGATTAATGCCTTATTTTCACATTGTGGAATAATCTCCCAGTTTTCATTGTGCTTGTGGCATTATTAACTAAAGTGAAACTCATGGAACATAGACTACTTAATTTCAGAAAGCAGCTAACTCAGATGTCTTAAATTTGGGAAAGTATTTGTTTTCTTGGCTTCCAAGCTCCCATACTGTTCTCTTATTAAAATAATCATATGCTCATAAAATTCACAAGATTTTTTCTTTAAAAGAGAACCTGCTCATGAATAGGGCTGGATTTCTTGTCTCTTTAGCTGTGTTTGAATACCAATAATGCTTATATATCGATTTCATTTGCAGTTTAGCAAATGCTTGTTCTGTCTAGAAAGTGAGGCAAGATATGCTTAGAGGCCTATCCTGGGACTGTATTTCACATTCATAGACTTGTGTATGAGCTGTGAAACTGGTAATACTTTTACCTTTAGTACAAGGAGACAGGTGCTCTGCACTTGAAGACTTCATCAATTGCTTCTGCCTTCTATCATCTCTGCTTGAAGATAAAGAGTAAGTCCACTTTAGGACATCCTGCTGATCACTGTTACATGGCATTTTTTCCACACATGATCCAGCTGCCATTGTGGAGCTTACATGTTGGTTGAAAGTCTGTTCCTCTTACATACCTTTTTCAAAAAAATCTGGGCACCTGTTTGTCTTGTGGCTGGCAGCTATCTGTCACATTGTGGTGGTGTTTCTTTATGGTCAATATTATAGGCTCAGGGAGTAAAATTTTCAAGTCATGTCTATGTGACCCCTTTAAAAATTTCATGGGCAGTCTAGGCTTTTGCAGTCTAGAATACAATTCAGAGTACTGTAGTCTAGTCTACAGGACTGTGATGGATACTCATATAGAGTATCCATCTATCCATGTAGAGGAAGGATCATGTTTCTGTCTCTTACACCCGTTTCCATAAGATTAAAGCTAACAGGATATCTTGCTTAATTTTGTAGATTTCATCTTGTCCTCTTGAAGATAGTAGTTTCTCAGATACTTCGAAGTATTCTCTCATTCCTGTGTTGTACAAAGTGAAGACATAAAAAGCAGCACATGATTGAGATGTCTAGAACTGTAATTCTAGAAAAATTACAGAAAGAAATTTATGAAAGTTGAACACTTCCATAAAATTCTTGAAGCAGCTGTGTCGATATTTTGCAATTAAAGTTTGTACAGAGAGTTTTAGTTCTCATGTGTGTTTTCAGTCTTCATTGAAGTACCATGGTAATAAACGCAAAGGATTCTGAGTTGGTCATAGAAATAAAGAAATACATAGAGCTGGACATAATGCTGTCAGA